AAGATGAAATATTTAGGTGTCATCCTCAAATTTTGGTATATTTGCTTGACTTGAATTGCAATATTCCTATGCTCCTACTACTTATGTTATTTCAATATCATGGCTTCACGTTGCAGCTGTAATATTAAAATAGTGCTGAATTATTTACTTTTATTCATACAGCTACCCCCACAAAGTACCAGGAAGTGCCAAATGAAGGCAGCAGTTCTTACGCCGAACGTCATTGGGTCCCACAATGCCCTGATAACTACATTCCAAGGGTCGGCATGGTTTTCAAGGACTTGGATGATGCGATTCGTTTCTATCGTGCTTATGCTGCTGAGGCGGGGTTTGATGTGCGCAAGACTACCACTACAAAGAAAGAGGGCTCCGTTGTTTGGCAATATGTTGTTTGTAGCCGCGAGGGTAAAAAACATGTCCCCACAATCTCCCACAATGATGCATCACATGACATTGGACAGGCTGCATTATCTAAACCTGGGAGAAGAAGACGCATTTCTAAGCGTATAGGCTGTATGGCACGTGTTGCATTTCGCATCCTTGGACATGATGGTTACGTTCTCAGCATATTTGAAGAACAGCACAACCATCCTCTCACTTCTCTCCCCTACAGGCCATTTTTGAAGATCAACAGGAACATTGATCTAGGCCATAAGAAGTTCATACTCAACTGTGCTAAAGCGAGCATTGGTACCATGAAATCATACCGACTTTTCAAGGAGTCCGTTGGTGGGTATTCAAGTGTTGGTGCTACTGCTGTGGACTTCAAAAACTTCAAACGTGATTTGAAGGCCTATATTGCCGGTGGAGATGCTCAAATGGTCATTGACAAATTATTCCGAAAATCAGAAGTATGCCCTGGATTTCGGTTTGATTATGAAGTTGACGAGGACGACAAGCTTTCTAGGCTATTTTGGTGTGATGCTGCTTCCAGGAAAAGCTACTCCCTGTTTGGTGATGTTGTCTCCTTTGATGCCACATATCAAACCAACAGGTCATACATCTATTAATTTCCATTTATCACATCTCACCTCATCCCAATATATCATGCAACTCTTTGTTGATTCATAGCACTATCCATGTCCTTATCACTTGT